ATTTAATATGGTATTCGAGCTAAGAGGTTTTAAGTTCAAGACTCTACCAACGCAGTATTAAAAAAAGATTTTGTAGGCTACATTGATACCACGTCTAAGGACTAAATAAGCCCAGACATGAGAAGGAGTGTTAAAATATATTGTCCATTTCTCTCCATCAGTTTGAAAAAAAATATTGTCCGTCTCTCTCCACCAGTCCCGACTATGTGGCTAGAGTATGAATTCAATAGAGGGAGAAGAAAACATATGTTTGTGAACAAGTATTTCAATCATTGCAAAGTGTTATAATTTACATGCTTTTCCTTAGAACATTAAGAAAAGTAGACAGGTAAATTTATGCCTACATCTTGGAAGCATAAAGATCATTCCAATTCTAAAAAAAGATCATTCTCATATACTAAGTCAACGAAGTATAATCCACAACAAATCACACCGAACCCATGAGGCACATTTCCGAAAATCGCAACATGGTCGGTCCAGTCATCCCTTCCTCGGGCGTCCAAAGCACCCCTTCGTGATATTGTGTCTAACCTACTAGTTTCGTTAATATAGTTTAACTACTTCCCGCACAAAAAATATCTACCATGTGATGCATAAGTTTGCTTTACATGTGTTCAACCCCTACACATAATAAGTCCAACTATAGCCCTATATACATATTCGACAATGATCCACCAAACTTCACCTTAACGAATATGCCCTCATCATCTTGTTGTTATCATCTTCAACGCTTGAATTTGGATCTTCCCTTGTTGCTCACTGTCATGAGTGCCGCCAGATTTAGCACCTTCGTTTTGGTCACCTTGATTGAACATAAATCCACATCTGGCTTCTCCTCGGATACATCTTCAACAATGTTTATTCACACTTTGTGCAAGTTGTTTTTGGTTCTCTTTCCCTTCGTCACAAGCTTCTTCTTACTCTTCTTAACTCTCCTAGTCTTCTTGTGATTGTCCACTTTGTAGACCTAACCATTGCCATGAAGTTTACCAAGTGAATTCAGATCTCTCTGAACCCTTGACATGTCTCTAACATCACATGTTCAATTCCATCTTAAGTCTGGGTCTTGACATCTCCAATGTCATAGTGCGCGGAGGCACATCGCCACCTTGATAGATCAGTAAAAGTTACTACATTTGTAGCAGGCGGTCTACTCTCTGCTAGATGTCACGTGATAAGAGTTCCCTATATCTATTATTCATGCTTCCTCAC